GTTTGAGCAGAATACCACCGGCATGGCGATGCCTACCCCAACAGCCCCAGACACACCTGTTCCCTCTGTCACTGCTTCAGAAGCCAGGTCAGTCTTCCTGGGAGTCAACCCTAGGAAAGCGATGGGCCTGGATGGTGTCCCCGGCCGAGCACTCAGATCCAGTGTGGACCAACTGGCCGAGGTATTCACCGACATCTTCAAATTCTCACCCCTACAAGCCGAAGTCCCCACTTGCTTCAAGAAGACCACCATCATCCCCATACCCAAGAAAATACATGCAACGTGCCTTAATGACGATCACTCGATAGCTCTGACTTCAATAATCATGAAATGCTTCAAGAGGCTGGTCATGGCCTACATCAACTCCAGTCGCCCAACCTGCCTCAATCCCCTACAAATTTGCCTACTGAAGTAATAGGTCCACAGAGGATTCCATTTCCCTAGCCCTGTACTCATCCCTGGAACATCTGGACAACAAAGACACCTATGTCAGACTCCTGCTCGTTGACTACAGTTCTGCCTTCAACACCATTATCCCCTTCAGTCTGATCTCAAAACTGTGTGACCTTGGTATTGGCTCTGCTCCCTGCAACTGGATCCTCAGCTTTCTGACCCATAGCCTGCAATCAGTGATGATAGGTAACTGCACCTCCTCCACAATAACACCCAACACTGGAGCCCCCCGCAAGGATGTGTCCTCAGCCCCTACTGTACTCCCTGTACACTCAAGAAGTGTTGCCAAATTCCGAACGACCACCATTTACGAGTTCGCTGATGACACCACCGTAGTGGAACAGATATCTAACAGCGACAAGTCAAAATACAGAAGGGAGATGGAGGGGCTGGTGACGTGGTGCAGTGAGAACAGTCTGTCTCTCAACGTCGGCAAAACTAAAGAACTGATCATTGACTTCAGAAAGAAGTGGGGAGAACACACCCCCATCTACATCAACAGAACTGAGGTTGAGAGAGTGAACAGCATCAAGTACCTCGGAGTGTCAATATGCAATGACATGCCCTGGACTTCCTACGCAAATGGGACACTCAAGAAAGCACAACAACTTCTTCAGGCGGCTCAGGAAATTTGGCATTTCCATAAGGTCCCTCACCAACTTCTACAGATGCACCATTGATAGCGTCTGGGTACATAACGGCCTGGTCTGGCCACTGCTCTGCCCAGGACTGTAAAAAACTACAGAAGGTGGTGTGGGAGATAGTAGGAACTACAGATGCTGGAGAATCTGAGATAACAAGGTGTAGAGCTGGATGAACACAGCAGGCCAAGCAGCATCAGAGGAGCAGGAAAGCTGACGTTTCGGGCCTAGACCCTCCTTCAGAAATTCTTTCCGGAGGGAGGAGGGTAACTTCTTCAAGGTAGGCATCCTTAGAAGAGGCTTCGCAGTGGGGTTAAAATTGTTTCAGAGATAG